AAAAAAAAAAAAAAAAAAACCAACAACAACAACAAGTACCCTCATCATGAACGTGTCGTTCTAGGCGTAACAGCCCCCCACCTCTACACAATTAAGATTCAGATTCAAAATCTTCACATTAGCACCTTCGCTTCTTGAAGGTAGACTGCGTGTGTTGTTCCCAAAAAAAGGGGGCGGGGGAAAGAAGGGAAGTCTGTGCCTGGAGGAAGCCAGTGGCAAAGTGATAATGATGAGAGACTTCCAGTGAAGATGCAGTGAAGATTCAGTGAGGATGGGTGTTACCTCGAACATGAGCGGCTCGATTTGCGAATAATAAAGGTTAGCAGCCATGAGTCTGAGCAAGAGGCAGACGTCTCGAGTGACCGACGACGTGACATTCGGGTTTCCTGCCAAGACATTCTCACATTAGCAAAATATGAATGAGCACGTATACGTCAAACCAACAAGAGTAATCTCAAGGCGTGACAGGGAAACTTCAAGGGAAACTTCAGAGCAGTACGAGACGAGGAGAGAGGAGGACTGCAATCTGCACAAAGTAAAAAAAGATGATGGTACCCAAGAGCCTAGCTCAGTGGGGACCACACCCATGAACTGTTGAAATACAGACCTTGTGCTGTGTTCGAATCCAGATGATGGAACTTGACGAGTAAAACCGACTACTAATGAATTGCATGGGGCTGGTCAGCTCAATGATAATATCTCAAGGCCGTCACCCCTTTCATTTTTATAAAAAAAAAAAAAAAAAAAAAAGAAGATGAACCGGGCTGACACTCCCCAGAATGCATATGGAGCCAGGGCCATAAGGACCTGTTATTTGCAAATTCAGATAAGATAGCTCGAAATGTGTGAGGCTTTACTCTCGTGGAGGACATAATGTGCTTCAATGAAAAAAAAAAAAAAAAAAACACCCACCATACACGTCCAACCTTCAGAGGAGGACCCCGGTACTGGAGGTTTAGAAGAAGGGGGTTAGCGCCTGATGGTGTCACACGCAACACGATTCGAACTCATGATCTGCAGATGGACCAACAGCTTTCTTTCTTTTCTTTTCTTTTCTTTTCTTTTCTTTTCTTTTCTTTTCTTTTCTTTTCTTTTATTTTATTTTATTTTATTTTATTTTCTTTTGTTGGTTCATTTCTCAATTTATGGGCATTGCCACACCATTCTCGAAATGTGCAAAATGAGAACGAACTTCCCGCTATAACATGGCCAGATGCACCCGCTACATTTGTCTTTTTCACATTTCGAGAGTGGTGTGGCGAGGCCCTATGCCTGTCATGCTTGCGGAGGGGCCATGCTAGTCTTCTCAGTGTCGATCCAATTTTCATATTTTGGAGAACTTTTTTTTTTGCATGCTCCTGCTCGTCATCTTCTCCACACAGTTAAATATTATTCTTCTCTCTGTTCTCTCAAGCTGTTGGTTAGCATTGAACTTGAAATGCCCTCCCAACATGGACATGCCGGTCCAATTGCCGGCCTGTGTGTGCGGTGAGAGGAAGTGCGTAGTCGGGAGCATGGGGGAGAGAAGTCCTCCACTGGGTATCATGACGCGAAATTGAAGGCTCCCCTCGGCCCGGGTATTACGATGCAAAAACTCGACCCTTCCCCCCTGGGCTGGGGCTCCTTACCGTCTGATCCGGGATCCTCAGACATGCGCAGCCTTGTGTGAAAAAAAAAGAGAAGAAAAGAAAAATTCAAAAAAAAAAGGGAAGAAAAGAAAAAACCAAAAAAAAAAGGGAAGAAAAGAAAAGTTCAAAGTTCAGCCATGTTTGATCCGACAGCGAAATACGAGTTCAGCGAAACAAAGTTCTTGTGGTTTAACGCCCGGTCACTAAACTTGTATTTGGGCCCGCCTTGTAGGCCGATAACGCCCAGTCACTAAACTCGTATTTGAGCCCGCATTGTAGGCCGATAAACCACAAGTACGCGGCCCCAGCCTTGCAGTCCGAAACTTGTCGCCACAAGAAAACGAGGCCAAAACGTCAAACGCTGGGCCCGCCGTTTATAAATCCGGTCGGCAGCCTTGTTTTTGTTTCGCGCCTCCAGAATTTGAGGTTTCTGACCCGCGGCCCAGGTGCCCATGTACCGGTGCTTTAACGCGGTGGATGAATCCCCCTGCCGTGTGGGTCTGTATTCATCCAGAACAGAGGGGGCCTAAAAATGTGGTTGGTAACTTAGTCTGGTGGTTTAATGCACAATGTCTGT